TGGTCAGTGCCATATTGACTGAATGCCATAGTGACTTGGCACCATACCACATGACCTCCAGCGCCATATTGGCTAGGTGACAGCAACTCAGCAGGAATTACAGCAGGGCAAATAACTAATCACTCAGTTCACTTGGAGGTTATGCATTGTCTATCCACTACAAAAACCAATACAATGCCATATAGAAAATATCATCAAATTCATTGAGCAGAGAAATGTAGATTGAAGTAAAAATATGTTATCATGTTACAACCATTAATCTAGCAAACACATGTCCCCCCAAATCCCAGTGGTCTCCTAGGTGAAACTTGGAAGGTGACTGAGTCATAGGGCCAATATACCTGCCTTGTTGTTAAAACGTGGGCTCTGCTCAGAAGAGATGCATCACTGGTGGCCTGACCCAGAATGGTGTGTTTCTCTCTCCAGCTTCCTGCTGGTCATTCTGCTGCTGGGCCAGCCATGCCATGAGTAGTTTTCCTCCTGGACCATCCCTTTCACCCTGTGGTTCTTATATTTGATCCTGCAAACCATGGACTACACCTTCTGAAATAAGAGCCAAGATAAATTTTTCCTTCTTTAAACTGTGGGTATTGAGTATTATATCCCTGGGATGAAAAAAGTAACTAAGACAATAATTCTGCTGAGTTATACATATTTTTAGCTTTATTTTTCACATAATTTGTAGTAATGGGGATTGAATGCAAGAAGTCACACAAGCAATTACTGAGCTGGGCCTCTGCAACTGAGCTGTATCCTCAGCCTCTGTAATTTTGTTGACTAGCCTTAAACTTGTGGTCATGCTGCCTCAGCCTGCCTGAGTGACCTGGAATTTCAGGCTTGTACCACTGTCCCTGACCTTGAGACTTATTGGGTTTTTTTGTTATTTTGTTTGTTTGTTTGTTTTTGTTTTTTTGAGACAGAGTCTCACTATTTCGTTCAGGCTGGCCTTGAGCTCACTTTTTAACCCAAGCTGGTCTCAAACTTGCAATATCCTCCTGCTTCAGCCTCCCGAGCGCTAGGATTACAAGCTTGTGCCACCATGCCTGGAGAGACTTATTGCTTAAAAGTAATTTGGAAACAATTATTAAAATTTAGCAATGCACACATTTTCACACCTCTGCCCTAGTCTGTAAAAACATATTGCATAGAAATAATTTGTAATTGTATAGAATTATGAAACACATGTTAACTGCAATACACATTTAGTGACAAAATGAGTTCTGATTAGGTAACTGGAGACTTCAGTATATTAGATATGTTACTTGTTTATTATATAGAACATATTTTATCAGTAGAAGTGGAGGCATTGTCAGATGAGAAGTAGTTCAGTGAAGCATGAAAAATATGATTTCATTCGTGCACAAACTGACAGAGAAATCTCCCAGTGTGTATATTTGTACATATTTAAATAGGAAATGTGGTGGGGTACTAGACTGTTGACATTAATTGCATGGGGAGTATGGCATTTAATTAAAAGTCAGTAAAATGGCATAACTTATACAAGAGTGAAACGGGTGTGCAGTGCTTCATAGTAACTTTGACATTCAAACCTTGAAGCTATACTATATTTTAAATCCCACACATATTACTTGCTAAATATATGGCCTTAAATAATTTATTCAATTATTGGATGTCTTTGTTTCATCATGGGTAAAATGTGGCAGATGATAATAGCTCTTACTAATAGAAGCCAAGTAAATAGAATAAAAATTAGCAAATGAAAAACCGCCTGTCTTTATCTGAATAGCAATACTCGATATGTCTAGTAATCAATTCAGTAAATATATGAGAGACAAGCCGAATGTATAGTTAGTTATTTTTTTCCAGGAAGAATAATGACACAGTTCAAGGGACAAAAACTTTCTACTTTGTATTTTTTATTGTCAATTTATTTCAAAATGATTAAAGATAAACATCTGAATAATAAAATGCAGTATTCAAACTATCCCTAAACCATCCTACTATTTACACTGACTATTCATAAAGTGGTTTTTGTATAGTCTATATATGAAAATCCACATGTATATGCACATATATAAAGTGATATCCATTGTAGTTGCTCATTTGCATTTCTTTTACTACTCTCAAGTTTATCAGATTTATAGATATATTCAGTAGAAGTCCTTCTAAGATGTACTTTACTTAGGACATCTTTATGCACATTAAGGCATAATATTTTTCTGTAATTTATTTTTAAACTTATTTTTAAACTTTTGTAATTTGTAATTCCATCATATTATATATTACTTAATTGTACTTTTAGTATGTTTAATCTCTATAGTATCTTTCCAGATACTGTGTTTTTATTTCTCCCAGTTTTTCACGCTAATAAGAACTCATAATAGACTTTCCTTGTATTTCAGTCTACAGACACCATGATAAATTCCCAACTGCCAAATATCCCTGAAAGTAACATCAATCTGGTTAGTGCTTGATCCATGTGACTCAATACAATCACTATCTTGTCTCTGGTAGTTAGGTGCTGCTACTCGAATTCTGCTGTTCTGGGAGCTGTGACTAACATTTAATGCAGGTTTCTTTTTGAACTGTAGTGTCTCCTACTGTGAGCTATTACCAAGATTTTTAAGATTCACGAATTCTTTCAGCAGTATATTTTCATGACTCTATAAAGAATATTTTTCCTAGGATTGCCCACATTGAAGGTGTAAGTGAATCAAATAGTTTATGCCAACAGTTCTATTTAAGCATTTATCTAAATCTTACATTACATAGCCAGAGTTGACTTGAATTTCCAGTAAACCAGTTAAGGACACTGTGAGAAGGACTTGCAACAATTCATGCCAGAGAACAATGTGAGAAACTCTTCCTGATCTGACATGAATAACTTTTCAACCTTTATAGTAAAGACATCACTGCATTTAAGATACCATTACAATGGGTGACTGAATAGTAATGGTGATATATGACATTGTATTAACAGAAGTACTGGAAATTTGTCCTTTATTACACACTTCTATCATTAAATGTGACTCTTTTCATCACAATTATAAGATTAATGTCAATTAGTTGTATTATAAGTGGATTGAAATGGTGACAAAAAATAAATCCCCAAGTTATAAGTAGTAATATTCAGATATATTTTCAGACTGACATAATGTGTTCTGCTTTTCCGCTCATGACTACTTTTGATTCTTGTCTTCTCTGATACTTTCATTCCAGGTTTGCCTTCACAACAGGCTTACTTTTTGGTCCAGATCTGGCTTTTGATGATTCAAATTTTTAAATTAGAAAATGGTTGGTATTCTTTGGAATACAACTTCTTCCCTCTGTAGATAACAAGTATTCCATGTTGTAGTAGTTGTTCCCTTCAGACCAACAGAAAGTATTAGATTAAAATGTTATATGCTTTTGTTCTTCTTAATGCCTATTACCCAGAAATAGTTTTTTTTTTTCTTGGTAGGATATTTTTATCATATATTTCTTCTATAATGTGTGTGTATGCGTTTCTTTTTTTTTTTTTTTTTCCGGTACCAGGAATCAAACTCACGACCTTATACTTGCCAGGAAGGCACTGTGCCGCTGAGCTAAATCCCCAGCTCAGTGTGTATGTATGTGTGTGTGTTTGTGTGTGTGTGTGTGTGCATGTGTGGTACTAGGGATTAAACCCAGACCTTTACATAGACCACATCCCCAGCCCTGTTGAAAATATGGTCCCTTCCTGTGTGTCTTGTTTAGCTAGTTTTGCTACTACCTTGCTTGCCAAACCTCACCCATATGTTTACTACTTACTTACTGTTTGTTTATTTATTTATTTCAAAACATCATCTCCCTGTGTAATCCAGGCTGACTTCAAACTAATGGTGATCCTTCTGCCTCAACCTCCCAAGCACTGGGATTACAGGTATGCACCACCACACCCCATATGTTTACTACTAAAATTGATTTCTCTCTTGAGACTCAAGAGCTTTTCTTCCTATGTGGCACTACTTCCCACTTGTGTCTTCCAACACTATGGGCAGGAACATGCACCCTTGCTTGTCTGGCCCTGAGCATCACTCTCTATGGTCTAAATATGAGACCATACATAACCTTTCATTCAACTTTGTTTCTTCTTGATTAATAGCTGTTAAACTATTGATGACCTGTGTCAAGACCAAAAATCTGTCTCCGCAACCACAGCTCATCAATAAATCTTGTGAGGAAGGGTATTGCTCCCATAGCTTTCTAGATCACCAAGGTGAGATTCCATTGTTCTCTACATAGGTAGGGCCAGCATGGCTGTAGTAGCTGTAGAAAATAGACATTCCACCCTCTACCACCCTTAATGACTTTCTGGGACAAGGTTGCTTGAGGAGAATAATACAGATAGTGGGACTTTGAGATCATGCTTATCCACTCTGCTGAACCCGGGACACATGCCTTGGTCAACCCCTTTGAAATTTGTTGTAAGGCCTACTGTCTAGAAGTAGAAAGAAAAATAACAAAGACCTCTAGAAATTCCTAAAATTCCAGGCTAGAGTGCATGCATGCATGTGAAATTTGGCAGCATTACTTACAATAACCTTTCCTCTCCTGGGTCTTGTTAAAGGCTCATATATATGGACTATATCTTGTGCATCTAATTATGACCAGTGAATTATGAAAAAGATATGCTCAAGAGATACAACTCTTATGACTCAGCACCCTGTCAATCACTTTGTTAATTATGCTCTGAAAGACCCAGTGGGAAGTGCAGTAGGTCTGGCACACACATTTTAAATGGTTGAGCCCAAGGTATTCCCACATTCATGACATTTTTCTTTCTGCCCATTCTATTTCCTTCACACTCATGCCATTTTCTTTTTCACTGGCATGAGCCCATTCTCTGAGTTAATATTTCAATAAATTTAACTACTTTTTCTCTACTGTTCTGTACTAAATATCCAACTCTTTGTTCTTCACACACAAGGAACTGGAACCTGTCTTGAGGTTCCATCACCCATGGTAACGTTTTTGTACATAGAAGAAATAAATAGCTTTATTAGCATATAGAAGCAAAGTCCACTAATGAGTCAATGACAGCTCTACGAGGGCTGCTGTAATGAAGCACCACAAACTGCCTGGTTTAAAATGGGAGAATCCATTATCTCACATCCGGAGAGCTGCACATTCAATATTAAGGTGTAAGTAGAGCCATGCTCCCTGTGAAGGCTGTCTGTCTGGCACTGTCAAAGTACCTTCTCACTTTCCTGGACCACGGTGGGAGAAGGGGAGTTAATATACATAAGTAACAAACCTGCCTTTAATTTTTATATCTATTATAACATTTTTTAAAAAAGGAGCAAGCAATACGTGGGCCACAGATTGGCCATCCTTCTTAGGAATGATCAAGCCAGGAGCCGTATTCAGAGGGTTCATTGGCTGAGGGGTCCATGACCTAGTCTTCACGTGATGCACTCCTTGCGCATCTTGACTGCTGTTCAGCAGTTCAGTAACTTTACTGTCTTGAGATGTTACCTTGTGATAATATCTATAATAAATTTCATATATTTTTATAACTATACATAATCTACCCAAATAAAATTTTATTTTGTGTATGTTGAGATGTTGAGACCACATGTGTTATTTCTGTTAGTATATATTATTGAAGAAATTTTAAACATTTTTATTAGTACATTGTAAATATACATAGTGATAACATCCATCATTGCAAATTTGTACCTGCACATGATATATCTTGTTCCTTCTTTTTTTCTACCCCCTTGCCACTCTTCAATCCCTCTTCCCCTCCTTATTTATAAATGCTTCATTTCAATATTTTACTTCTATTCTCTTTATTCCTTCCCCTTCCTTCCTTGCCACCAGCTGTCCCTTCCAATTTGAACATGTTTTTCCTATTTCATAACATTATACATTTTCATCCTATTTTACAATTCAGTTTCTCACACCAGAGTAACAATGCAGTATTTAATCAAATGTGTCTGATTTATTTCACTTAAGAGTATGGTCTCAAGGTGAATAGCTAGAAATGCTTCAAGTTTATCCTTCTTTGTGGCATAGTAGTACTCCATTGTATATAAAAAACACATCTACATTATCCATTCAATTGTAGATGGGCATTTTGGCTATTTCCAAGATTTAACTATTGCAAACTGTGCTACTATAAACATAGCTGTGAATATGTCACCGTGGTATATTTTTAATTCTTTCCAGAAGATACCAAGAAGAGACATAGCTGGGTCAAATGCAACCCCTAGTTTTAGTTTTTCTGAGGAATCTCCAAACTGCTTTCCATAGTTGGTCTACACTTTCACCAAGTTCTTTTATTCCTACAGCCCCACTAACCTTTGTTATTGTTTAATTTATTTATAATAGCCATTGTTTCTGGAGATGGCATCTCTGCATTGTTTTAATTTGCATATCTCAAATAAACATTAATATTGAACTTTTTCCTCAGATATTTACTTGCCGCTTGTATTTCTTCATCTGAGAAGTGTATATTCATTTCAGAAGCCAAATTTAGACTGGGTGTTTAAATTTGGGAGATCTAAATTTTTTCAATTCTTCGCATGTTCTAGATATAAGTCCTTTGTCTAAGGGACAACTGCTAAAATGGTTTCCAACTCTATGTGTTATCTTTTCACTCAGTTGGTCATTTCTTTTGCTGTGCAGAAGCTTTTTAATTGGCTAAGATACCAGTTGTCGTTTCTTTGTATTATATCCTGTATGATCAGAGATTTGTTCATGAATCCTTGCCTACACCTATATATTCAAAAGTTCTACCTATTCTCTCTTCCAAAAGACTTAGTGTTTCTGTTTCAGTTTGATCCATGTTGATTTTAATTTATGAGTGGTGACACACATGAGACTAGTTTCGCTATCTTTTTTCCAGTGAAAATGTTTTGGTCCTTTGTCAAAGATAAGGTGAATGAATGTGTTTGCAGTTGTTTCTACATCTTCTAATCTGTTCCATTGATCCTCAGGTTTGCTTTTTTTGCCAGTATAATGCTGTTTTTATCACAGTAGATTTGAAGTATAATTTTAAGTCAGGGATTGTGATGCCCAGTGCCCTGCCTATGTTGTCCAGAAATTTTTGCTATTGTAGGACTCTTAGGATTTTATGTTAAAATTGGAAGGGGTATTAGTTGGCAAAGAAGGAAGGAGGAAATATTTTAGGAACATTTTCTCTAGTTCTATTAGGTATGTTAATAGTATTTTGATTGGGTTTGCTTTAAATTTGTATAACAATTTTGGAAATATGGCCATTTTCACTAAGTTGGTCTTTCCTATCCATAAGCCAGGATATCTTTCAATTTTCTGATACATTATTTAATTTCCTTTTTCAGAGTGCTGTAGTTTTCAATGTAAAGGTCTTTTACTTCTTTCCTTAGATTAATACCTAAAGTATTTCAATTTATTGAATGCTATTATAAAAATTATTTTTTCCTTAATTCCTCTCTCAGTGATTTTGTTCTTTGCATACAGGAGTGTTATTGATCTTTAGAACTGAGTTTGTGTCCAGCTATGCTAATGAATTTGGCTATTAAATGTAGAAATCTTTTGGTGGAGTTCTTGGGGTCTTCTCTGTAGACTATCATGTCATCTGCAAATAATGATAGCTTAAATTCTACCTTTCCTATCTTCATTCATTTTATTTTTTCTCTTACTAATTGTTCTAGTTAATGTCTGAAGAACTATACTGAATGAGTGTCGTTAGTGAGCACCCTTATTTTGTTCCTGACTTTAGAGTGAAAGCATTCAGTTTTTGCCTATTTAATGTACTGACTATTAGTTTTCCATAGAAGGCTTTTATTAGATTGAGATAAAGACCTTTTATTCCAATTTTCTGTAGTTATTTTTTTAATCATTAATCGGTATTGTACTTTGTCAAATGTTTTTTCTTTATCTATTGAGCTGATCATATGGTTTGTGTCCTGGGCTTTGTTAATATGCTGTATTACATTTATTGATTTGCATATGTTGAAACATCCCTGCATCCTTGGGATGAATTCTGTTTGGTCATGTTGTATAATCTTCTTGACAGCTGGGTATGGTGACACATGCCTGTACTTCCAGAAATCACTAGGTTGAAGCAGGAGGATTGCTGAAATCAAGGCCAGCCTCAGCTGCATGGTGAGTTCAGGAATAACCTGAACTACATAGCAAGACTCAGTCTCAAAAAAAATTTTGATGATTTCTTGCATTCTGTTTGCCAGTAGCTCATTGAGGATTTTTTTGTTTGTGTTCATTAGGATGATTGACCTATAGGTCATTTTTTATTTGACCCCTCTCGTTTTGGTATCAAGGTAATGCTTACTTCCAGGAACAAATTCTGAATATTGCTTCCCTTTAGATTTCATTACAGAATTTGAGAAATAGCAGCATAGGTTTCTCTAAATTTCTGGTAGAATTCAACAGTGAATTTGTCAGAACCAGGGATTTTCAGGGATTTTCTTTGTTGATAGGTTTTTAATTACATCTTCAATTTCATTGACTGATATTGGTTTATTTAGAATTTTTATATCTTCTTGATTTTTCTTTGATAACTCATATGTATCAAGGAATCTACCTATTCTGTGTTTTCCATCTTACTAGAATACAGGTTCTCAAAATATGTTTTGACGCTCTTCTAGATTTGTGCAGAATCTATTGTGATTTCACCCTTTTCATTTCTAATTCCATGGATTTGAGTCTTTTCTTTTTCTGATAAGATTGGCTAAGGTTTTGCAATTTTATTTAACCTTTCAATTAATGAAGTATTCAATTCATTGATTTGTTTTATTGTTTTATTAGTCTCCATTGCATTAATTGCTGTTCTCATTTTATAATTTCCTCCCTCTGTTATAACTTGTGTCCCTCCAAAGTCTCATGCAGTCAGTGCATCATCTTCTGCAATTTGTGGTTGATTTATTGTCCAGTGCTGGGATTAATGGTGTGAGTGCCGCACCTGTCCTAGGGCAGGTAGCCTGCATACAATTTACAGGAAGAAAAGAGGCTTTTCTTTCTCTTTTTTGTTGTTTGTGCTGTCTTCCACTACCATGAATGTTTGCCCCTCTGCTATATAACACCTTGCATTGGAGAGAGCCAATTGTGGACTGAAACTTCTACAAACTGTGAGTTGAATAGACCTTTTCTTTTTTAGCGATGGGTGTTGGGTATTTCATCTCAGCAAGGAGAGAAAAGTAATCAACACACATCCTGTGAGCTTTGACCTTGACTTCTTTTTCTAGAAAGTCAAGGTTCAACCTTACGTTGCGTATTTCAGTTTGTTGTGTTTTACTGGTATGAGAATTCCCTCATAGGACTACTTTCACTGTGTCCCATAAGTTCCACTATGTTGTATCAGTATTATCATTTAATTGCAGAAATGGTCTAATTTCTTCTTTAATTTCATTTT